ACGTCACTCGAACACTAATAATTCTTTTAGAACAACATCTCGCATCCTCTCGAGACACATTCAAAAAGATGCCTTCATTGTGCCATTTTAACCAGACACTTTCGCAGAAGTGTTCTAATATACGTAGATTTATAACCCATTTCTATCACCCAGCTATAGTCAGCCATTATCGGAGTACTCAAAACGAAATATTCATAAGTGACTTGTTTATGATTTGCTGCGGAAGCACATAACCGAAGAAAACCACATTTTCGGGTAAAAATTCTTCAATTTTTCGTGCTAAATGGTTGGTGATAAGTTATTTGCCATCTGAATCCTATCCATTTTAAACAGCAGGAAAAAAAACTGAGCCCTGTGAATGACCTATGATAGTTCGGGTTTTTATGAATGTTCCAAAATAAAATATCACTTTTTTTAAACATTCGATTCATATTTGTTTCAATTCAAGGCTGCGTTTTAGGATTTAAAGATGTGCGAATACATTTGAACGCTCAAATGGCCTCTATAGAGTAGAAAAGGACGGATTTGCAATCTCAATCACCTCATTAGTTTTGAACAATTTCAATGATTAAAACATGGTGATGAGCGTTGGCGTATTTCATCAATGCTACTGTGTATCGGTGTCATTAGCGGTAATGCAAAAAGCATTTCAAGTGACGTAACAATATAAGAATGCCCACCGATACGGTATAATATACTCAGAACTGATCCATCAGTGCCTAATTCACTTATGTATGGATCAGTTTAAATCAGAACGACGTTATAACCACCACCAAAAAAAAAACAGAAGTGCAGACGATCGATAATGGCAGAGAAATGCTTAGCGGAAACTGGCAAATGTCAATATATGCTGACTAGTGAGGTGTAATAATCATTATCAAATAAATTTGATTGGTTCAGTTCACTGAAGATATTCACTAACTGCTCAAGCAAAGCACATACAATTAATAATCGCTCGTAACTAGAGTATAAAATTTCCAAAAGACGCAATCGTTTGCGTTCAGTTGATGCATATCATTATGAAAGTTGCTATTAAACTTCGCAGAGTCCGTTTTGAAAATGTTCCATGAGTAAGAGCCACTGAAAATGACATCAGAATATTATTATTAGATGGAGTGTTTTAATTCATATTTGATGATTGTTGAATGACACAACGAACGTTCCACTCAATTTTGGAACGTAACATGTAAGCTCCATCGTTGACCATAAATGCTGAACGCTGTCAAAAATTTTGTGGCTTCAAAGCAGAGATGCTTGAACGTTGAAATCAGTGAATATAAACTAGGTGAGAATGAAGAGTCAGATAAGACGGTCGGTGATATCAACGTAGAATTGCAATAGATGATTACTATTGCAGTCTATTATTATGATAAATGCTGCCGCATCCACGCCACTACTTTTCACGATCACAACGCAAACGAATGAAATAAAGGTAGAGTCGTCAGCAGTCATTTTCGACGCGTAATTCGCAAATACTTTTCAGTTGAATTGATTGTGGCAGAGTACATACTTATTCTCACCCTCAATCGATTATAATACCTTTATAAATGTTCATGTATGAGATGAATAAAGGTTTCCTGTTCCAGGCACAAATTAGGTTGGAAAACGGCAATGGGACTTTTAGGTGGACGGAAATTGCATTTCAGGGTCCTGATGCTATTCGTAGTGTAAAACCAACTGAATTCAGAGATTTCATCTCAATTATTGAACCTTTTGCAGATCAACGAAACAATCTGAATTCTTTTAACGACTTTCACTAACTGTTTCAAATCACTTGATTAAAAGAAATGTTTCCTTACATTCAACACAATACGTTGGACATCGATGTAACTTTGACGCACAAAGAAATTATACGATTATACGACGGAAATGAAATGCGACGTCCTTCCAGTCTAGAAACATTTTATACAAAATGTCGATCCAATAAATTACTTTGAAAGAGAGTTGACTAATTTGGTTTTTTTTTTGCTTGAGGCACCATAATGCACATTTTTGAATTCAAGAATATCCAAAGTTTCA